AGAGAGAAGACAATCTTTGGTTTGAAGGAAAAGAAAGGGAAAGCTGTAGAAGGTTTGTAAAAGTTTTCTTACATTTCCCTTCCTTTTCCTACTTTTTCCTTTAAACCAAACACAACCTATGAAATCATTGCTAGAGATAACCCTCTCTCATATGCTTCGACAGAAACAGAGGGAGATAATGGACAATTGAACGGATCAATGGGTATTTGGGCTAATCTGTTTTGGTCCACTAATTTACCAGACAATCAAATTTTGGACCAGTCCAGTCCGATGTAACACTTTGGGCCGTCCAAATTGATCAAAATGGTTATGGTTCGGATGGGGTCCAATCCAAACTCGATCCATTGACACCCCTATTCATGGTCTATCAGCCCTAAAAGTGTGTATTTCCTTAACCAACGTACGCCTCAAATATGTGAGCTGGCATAGCTTAGTACATGGGCTGAATTTGCAATGCAAGCCCAGGAGAGAGAGCTGGGCTCAGATGACTATAGGACCAGCCCAATGTATGCTTGATAAAAAAATGTCATCGTCATGTTAACTTTTCTTACCAAAATGGCGGTCCTATTCAGGTCGGTCGAAATCTGGTAAAGACAGAGTCGTGTACAAACACATAAAATGGACTAAGTAGTAACCAATCTACCTGGGACCCACACCCTATATTTACGGATCACTAGCGTGTATGTGTTCACTCTTTTTTGGTAACGTTGCATCCATTGTTTGTAGGCTTGTAGCAGATGCAGAGTGGGTCCACCCATGAAGGACATGGGCTCAAACTGGTGCATCTGCCACTGGATCGCTTGATTGTTAAGGGACTGCCCAACCCATGATCAAGCCCAATTATTTGATGCTTTAGGGTTTATTTAGGTATAAGCGATATTGCGAAAAGAATTTGAAAATTAGTAATTTTCTAATTTGATTTCTAGTAAAATGGTGTCTCTCTAGTCTCTAGTAGTAGAGCGAGAATGAAATAAAATGACCTGCACTAAATTCCTTACGACGGACCTGAAAATGGAATAGCCTTCTCAATCCACTAAGCCACAACAAATTTACTTGTAGATTTAAGAAAAACTGGAAATGATTTCATTGAAATGTGGTGGTCCTGGTCCAATTCCAATGACTTAAAAAAAATGCAAAAACGACAGCTAGAATCATTTCAAAGTGACATCTTTGACTTTAAAACTTCATTTATTTTCTGGAGATTGGTTGGAACTGAAACTAATCGATCAAGCATGAACCTTCCAACTTTTTCTGTATTCTTCGAATTAATTTCCACTTTTTTTTTCATTCGTCGGTAATGAGTGGAAGAAATAACAGGGGTTTTTATAGTTCAGTCCACCTCAGAAATCTGACCCCTACCGTACAGGTTACATGAATCCTGCTCATAGATTGATCACAAATTTACAGGCAGGATGCGGTTTATAGGGGGCTGGCTACTAGCAAGGTTTAAAGTATTTGAAATGTAAGGTATATCGGAAAGATGATTTTAAGAGACGTGTCGGGATACATTTTGGATACATATAAATACGGAAAAAAATCAAGATACGCATAAATATGCTAAAAAACTCAAATAAATCCTAAAAATATATTAATAAAGATAGTTACAAGTTTTATATGATTATAAATAAGTTATTTATAAGTAAAAAAAACTGTAATTTAATGGTCTATATAAAATTCAAGATATCGGAGCACACTTAGTAACTATTTGCAAACAATGGAATAACTAAAATGTTAAAAAACATAAAAAAAAAACTAAAATTTATATTGATATATATTAGTTTTAAAACAATCAATTTAATTTATCTTTATATTTATTAATACATAAATTTTAATAATTAATTCTAACATTTATTGATGAGCATACACTAAGAAAAAGAGAAAATTTATTTAAAAATAAAAATGCATAAACCTATAACAAGCAAACCGGTGTGGCTTAGTGGTGAATCTCTAGTTGTTAAAGCTTAATGTTTAAGGTTCAATGATTGCTATTGTCAAGTTTGTAGCTTTATACTAACAAAATTAATTTAATGAGAAAGAGGGTTATTAATTATCGAAATTAATGAGAAGAGATTTTCAATTAGAAGCTAAAATTTAAATTTAAATTTAAAATTATGCATTAATTACAAGAATAATTAACTAATTAATGAGAGAGAAATTGCACTTAACTATAAGAGTAGACTAGGAGGGAACTGTAATTTCAGATTTCAGAGATGGATTGAAGTTCACTTATTTGATTAATTCTATAGGGTTTTCTAGTTTTCAAGTATCACGGTGGGCCATGTGATGAAGTTAGTAGGATCATCTTCCTCGTTTTGGTAAATCATTTATCTGATAAAACATTTATTCAGATAATATTATTTCAGCAGTTAACATTGTACAATCATTGCGTATTAGCAATTTTGGTTGTATGGGCTCAATTGAAAGAATTATAAATGCAAATATGTACAGTATAAATATATATAATATAATACAATACAAAATACAGTAATTTGCATTTTGTACGATAAAAGAATCCAAGCATGAAAAGGGTATTATTTGTCCAAATAAATTGATGGAAAATCATTTTTTTTCTCACAGGATTCATTAATACGGAAATACAAACACAAATTCATTTCTTTTCTATAGTATCCACCAACTTATCCACCCCCACTTCTTAGAAAATGAAAGAATCCTCAAGAGGCGTTTGTTTTTGGGATTTTGAAAGGAGAGAATGTTGGTCAGTGGAATTGTAAATCCCATTAATGTTCCTTTTTTGGATTTATATGAAAAATGGGAAAAATTTATTTTGGATAAATTAACTTTCTCATCATGAAAAAGTTAATAAAAATACCTCTTTTAATAATAATATAAATAAATATATTTATCCAAATAAATAACTTACCCAAAAGTAAACGAGGCCTTAATATAATGCGGGACCCAACACACTGCTACCCTAGCTTGCATCTTCCCACTTGAGGAATCAACACTCAACATGTGAACGAACCTTCCGACTCAAGGAAAATAGGCAAGCTAAGTAGTTTGCTTGACCAAGTAACAGGAACTGGCCAAAAGCCGATGTCAGGTGTCAAACCCAACTCACCCAAATTGAAAGCCCAGTTCTTTCAAAAAAAAAAAAAAAATGAAAGCCCAGTTCCAGTCGTGCTCACGCCGCTACTTGTCTCCATAGTACTCCGTAGTCCGTAGTCAAAAAACATTAGATTTCTATTTACACAAGTAGGAAAAGTGGAAAACCATACGTCTCTACCACTAGAGCAATAATGGTGGATGGTGGATGGTGGATGTGATTAAACATAGAAAGATCTCTCGTCTCGTTGATTCAACCACACCCCAGCTGTGGCCTGATCACAAATTAAGCTCCGGCTTTCAGGCTACAAGTCAGCCCCCACCATGGACGGTAATGAGCCTGAACAGTGACCGACCAGATCGCAAGTCTACAAGGCCTGACCAACTTCACTTTGAAACCTCCTCAACTCAACTGACCGACCAGTCTACAAATATATAGCAGTCTTGCACTAAGCAACCACAAGCAAAACACATACATATTAATTTAACATCTACACATTTACTAATCAAATTGACATGTGGTACACCAAATATTCCTTCCCAATACCAGACATGGCCAAAGAAGAAGGAAGACTAAATGTTACAGAAAGAAGAAAAAATACCAGAAAAAAAAAGAAAAGAAAAGAAAAAGAATGTTCCCGACCCCCTTACCCAAATGGTTGGGATTTAATTTAAAGCTGAGGTGAGTTGAGGCCCAACCCATTTTGTCTTACCATCTTTGGTGCTTTCAGGGTTGAGTTTGTATGTACTACTTATATTTACAGAAAAGAACATCAAGTGTTCTTAGGCTTTAGATCAATAGCTAAAGAGCCCAAACACCTCCCTCCCTCAATCCATTACTTGTTGTTGCAGGGTTGGTTGATTCTCATGGCTCTCCTCTCTAAAATCTTGGGACCATGGGATTAAACTCGTGAGAGGGAAGCAACAGGCGCAGCTACCAGGGCAGGCCTCTGGCCTAGTCCAGTTTCTGTTTTGTTCTCTGGAAGAAGAGATCTGATGATCATGGCTACCACCACCGTAGGAAGGTGCAGCTGCATCTTCAAGTGGACCCCAACATTCTACCCGGTTGAATTCTGGAATGTTCGAGTGAAAATAAACCCAGACCAGTGCTTCCTTCAACTCTGGATAATTGTTGAAGAGATTCCCATCTCCATGAACAAAGGCCTTCAGTACCTGTTTAACCATTAATGAGATCATTTTAACAGAATTAGTTAGGAATAAACATTAAACAGATGGGTTACTGGTGAGTGGTGAGGGAACAAGTTGTGAATAATATAGTATGTACCACAGGGAGCTCTTTGGAGAAGATGTAGTATCTAAGCTTTGCACAGAGATCTAAGAGGAAGTGTCCCCCACTTATGTGGCAGTGAACGTGGAGGGACATCTTCCCTTTCACTTTCTTCCACTCTGCAACCACTTCGTCTCTCTGTAACTTGTTGTACCACCCCTGTAACTGCATATATAGAATCTTTTCTTGTCAGTTAATTTGTTCCATCAAACCACTCGAATTAGATCTTTCAATTTCTTCATCTAAAGAAGAAATGAAACCATTCAAAAAGATTCAAATAACAAACTCCCCTGTTTTCCTCCTTTTATCAACTTTCAACTTTTTTTCTGGTTAAAACAAACAAAGACCCATGATTTTCTTAATAACTAAAATTCAAATATTTGAAGTTTCTAACTAGAAGAAGAAAAAAAGGCACCACAGTTTACATCTGGATTTGTGTAGAACTGGGTTACCTGGGAGCTATTGATAGTATGAGAGATGGCCAGAGTAAGTTTAGCGGTGATATCGCTGTGGGTAAGCGTGTAAGCTCTCGGAAGGTTACCGGGGTGCTTCTTTTCGTCCACCCCCAAGAACAAAACCTTCAGCTTGGATGCTTCGAAGATGGCAGGCCCAAAAAGCCTTGCAACCTGAACAAATCCACAACGAATCATAAATTCAATCCAAAGCCTACCAAGCATCATTTCTCACTAGTCACTGCAAAAATAACACCCAAATAGAAGAAAGACAGGACGAAGAAATACCGGAACAATCGACCGGTTCGATTTTTTCTTCTTGGAGCGGTGGTCATAGAAGAAGAGCGAGCTCTTCTGTTCTGAGAGAGATGGAGACGATTGCAGAGGTGTGGGGAGTAGAGATGTAGCAGTGAAACCCATCTCTGAATCAAAATCGTATCTCAATTCTTCTTGAAGCTCCAAGTCTAGCGTGCTCCCTCTCTGTCTGTCTCTCTCTGTTCTTAATGACTTGGAGCTTTCGAAATCAATTATTACTTAGCTTGGAATGTTGAATCACTTGGGGATTACAGTTTAATTAGTTTGAGAAGGAAAAGGTCGCGGATGCGTGTGGAAATGGTACTACTTCCTCCCCCAAAGCCGGAAGCGGAGGAGGTTGCTTCGAGGTGTCAACTTTGTGGGCACGGATTGGCACGTAGCGCTACGTGCAATTAACCACGTGGGGTTGTGACAACGGGTTCGACCCAACCAAACGTACCTTTCTAAGTTTCTAGGAATAGAAAGGCAAAAAAAAAAAAAAAAAACTATACTATAATCGCTGTTGTGTTGCCACTTGCCAGAAACGGCGTAAGCATCATTCATGAATCATGATTCATATCGGAAACCAACCATGGTGCGAGTTCTGTTTTGATCATCGTAGCAGATGTTCATGTTCGTGTTTTTTATGTCGAGCAAGAAGACAAATCTTTTGTTTGGTCGAAATTCGAAAATGGTTTACCTCTGATCCCAGCTCAAATAGACTATATATAGAACCGAACCGGGCGAACCACGAACGATCTAGTTGATCTACGGAGTGGATCCACTTCGGAATCTTCGTACGCTTCGATATGTTGTCCTGCGATCCAAAATGTCGCGGCGGTCGTTATGCTCATTAGAATTTTCTGTATTTTCTTTTCTCTTAAAAAACGCTTTTCTTTCTTGGGTTATATAGAATTCTCTATTTAGATTTCGGTTGCCGGTGGCGCCTTTAGCTGTCTGCGAGTAACCTTTGGCATGAATACGATCATGCGAGCTTAGAGATGATAGCTCCCAACGTCCCATTCTTTTCGGAAAAAGAAATGTTTTAAGGGAAAAGTACGGATAGGCCCAGATTTCTGAACAGATTCTCACGCCAAAATGACATTTAAATTTAACTTTTTTAATCTTAGAACAGATTCTCACGCCAACTCAGCTTCTTTCTTTTGCTTATGAGGTGGTAATCCAACTTGGATTCCACATCACAATTTTCCATATTTTTTAAGGGATTCTAGTTGATAAGGGCAACTTTTAGGCCCTAATATCAATAAAAATAATATTTTTAATATAATTTCTAAAATAGGTTAATTATTTTTTTTAAATATTAAATAAGGCCAAAAACACTATTCATCTCCTTCCTCCAGACCACCAAACAAATCTTCCCACCTCAATCTCTCTCTCTCTCTCTCTCCCTTCTTCTTCTTCAAATACCTCTACCCTTTTGTTGTTCTTGAATTTCGATTTGTTTTCTTTGTAATCCATTAGGAGTGCTTCTGTGATCGGGTCTCCTACTCTTGATCTTCCCACGAGACTTCGCAATTCAACCAAATCGACCAGAGGCATAGCTGCCATCTCCATTACTTTGTACCTCGTATCTGGGTCCCTGAGAAGAAACAGAAGGCAGTCGATACTCATGTACTGCCAGTCATCGAAAGATCTCGAGAGATTACAGAGAGTTTCCATAACTTCTCTTGAGTTTGCAATTCTTTTTTTGTCGGTTTTGCTGTAACAAAGGATTCTAATGAGTCCGACCCTTGTAGGCGAGCTGTGGTTTACCAACCCACCCCACATATCGCTTAGATCCTTCAAGAACTCTTGTTTGCAAATGAGATGCAGAGATCTCTCTTTGCAGGCAATTTAGAAATAGAACTATTTGATATTTTTTAAAGCCTAGAAATCGGGATTGGGGGAGATTTATTCGATGGTTTGAAGGAGGAAGGAGATGAATAGTATTTTTGCCCCTATTTGATATTTTTTTTTTAAAAATTTAACATATTTTAATAATTATATTAAAAAGATTATTCTTATTGATATTGGGGCCCAAAAGTTTCCCTTATCGGCTATAATCCCTTTTTTTTTAATTTCGAAATTACCAATTAACATGTGAAAACTAAAATGACCCTGTTGGGCTCACTATTTAGATCTCTCCCGCTCTCCCTCCTCTCTCTCTCCTCTTTCGTTGTCTCTCCCACTCTCAACTCTCCTCTTCCTACAACTTTCTTCTTCCCAGACCCAGAACTCTTCTTTCCCACTCTCATTCTCTCCTCCCTCTCTCTCCCTCTGTCTCACTTTCACTCTCCCTTTAAGATTGAAAAAGTTGAGTTTAAATGTCATTTTGGGTTCTGTATGGGTTGGCTTGGATTTCAAAAACCCCATAATACCACTTAGAATGCTTGGAAACCACTTTGTAATTGTTGATAAACTACTTTTTGACTTTGCAACATACGACCAAGTATACGAGCTTAGTGCGGCAATACGTAGACCTCGAACTGGTGCAGGCCCAACTAGAAGAAGGGCAGTACAACAATTGCAGCAGCAAGTTCTTCCATGATCTGCTACTTCTATTCAATAATGCCATCATCTTCTTCGCCAAGAACTCCTCAAAATTTGTCGCTGCCATTGCATTAAGAGAGCTCGTCATTAAAGAGATGGCAAGAAGAAATACTAGAAAACCGGATAGATCAATTGATGAACCACCCCAACCACCATCCGTTCCTATTCCATCTAAATTGAGTTTTGAGCCAATGGATTCATTGTTTGTAAAACCTAAATCAAGGTCCCATCGTTGCTTGTCGAAAACACAACTCCATACCAGCTAAGGCATCCACGATAGTTATCTAGAGGAAAGGAGATCAAAAGCCGTCAACAGCAAGAACATTAGCAATGATAGTGATTGATGAGAAGTCCATTATCGATATAAAGCAAGCCAAGGGCAACCTCTACTACCAGCAAGAATTTAAATGTGAATTCTAACCAAAACCCAAGACGTAGCTCGTGCCCTCCATTGGGAAAAGGTGGTGCAGCTCGTGAAGACAGTCCTGAACCCAAGGTGGAGAAAAAGAACAATAACACAATTGTTGCCAAGAAGCCTAGCGCGGTGAATTTCTTGAACAAAATGAACAGAACTCTTCGTCCAATGGAACATTGCTAGAGAGGTTGAAGAGTTCTGTAAATGGTCTAAACAATAACAAAGAATCTGAACAAAAGAAAAGCAGTGGAAAGAGTGATGGACAGAAAGATCAGGCTCCCCAACAAAGGTCTAGATGGAAACATGCTACAGGATAGAGGAGTCCAATGAAGAGAAGTGTCGAACATCCGCCTAAAAGGGCAATGAGACAAACATCTCTGCCTCCTCCCATACTGTTGAAGCAGGTGAGGGAAACGGTAGAAACGAAGGCAGTTACATCTAGATAGGCAGGGAAACAAACATCTCTTAAGTTGGCGTGGGAATCTATCCTAAGATTGAAAAAAGTTGAGTTTAAATGTCATTTTGGGAGCTCACATCGTCTGCATCCACCAATAGGACATTGTCACGTCAGTTTTAATTTTCAAAATCCAACTTAATGGAAGTCCCCAAGTTAACAGGAACTTTTTGGCTTATCCTACTTCTTGCCTTCTTCCCCATCTCCATTTCAATCAATGAACAGCTGCTATTGACACTCACCGGATGCCACTCTCAGCTGCCGGTGGCACTCATCGGATGCAACTCACCAAAAAGTTAAAGTACTTAAAATCCCGCTCATATTTATCTCCCCTATTTCGTTTTCCCCCTCTCCCCTCCCCTTGAGCTCCTTTCTCCCTCCAACCACCGCCTCGGTCTTATTGATGAAGGAGCCACTGCAACTGCGAACCATTATCGCTGCAACCAAAGCTTAAAACATTTAAGCACATTTGCATCTCCTGTTGTAATATGTTTGCTAGAGTTCCATCTTTTAAGTTTCCTCCCATCCTTTTCTTTTAAGTATTCTATTGATGTTCTGCGTCCACCCCCCTCAAAGGCAACAAGTTCCCACATAAAATAGACAACAAAACTCAAAATCATACCAAACCAAAGTGTTTTGTGGACAACAATTCTTAGTCAATTCAATTCAATATTGTCTTAAGAGAATGAGCAAGTGTTAACATACACCAAAAGAACGGAAAGCATTACAAAATCTCCCCACACTCCAAACTGTTATCATGGTACAATGAGTGTTTCATAGAGGCTGGATTTAAAGATGTTCAACAGAAAAGGATTGATCCAAAATGGTACTAGCTGGCTTGCTCATGGGATGCTTTGTGACAAAACCCTATTCATTTTTTATGACTCTTCCTTCCAAGTGCTCCATTTTGGCAGGATTGGCATTAAGATTCATATCAGTGTTAGCATTCACTTAGAATTTCCTGATTAATTGGATTTAAATCTTTTAGGTTTAGATAATTCATAAATACTGAGTGAACTTTCACAAAGATATAGTGTCAAATCTAATGACACCCATACCAAAGTTAGAGAAGACGATATTTGAAGTAAAGGTAATGAACCTGCTAGATAACGAAAAGAATACTTGATGCACCTCAAATAATGGTAAACCAATAATAAACATGACAAATTTCTAATGGACTCAAAGGACTTTCTTGTGTCAATTTGTGTTTGTCTTGGTTTTGCATGGTATTTGGATTTCCTTATTACAAGGCGTTCATCATGAGTTTCATGGTCACCTAAATTTGGAGTGGAACTTGATATTTAGTGATGTTTAAGCATAATTTGAGAACTTGAATAACTGAATGTGGTGTGTCAAAGAAAAGGGAGAGAGAAAAGGTTGCAATTGCAGTGGCGGTGCTAGTTAGCTATGGGGTTGAGAAGAAGAAGATAGTAGAGGTTGTAGTGGCAGCCAATGACAATTGTGGGTGAGGTCCTAGGACTCTAGGAGAGAGAGAGAGAAAGATGAGGTCATGGGGAGAGGAAGAAACGAAATAGGAGAGAGAGAAATTTGGGTGGGATGTTTAAGTTTTTTTGAGTTAGATGCCCCCATTAAGGTCTGGATTTTGTTAAGTTTATTGGATTTCAAAAAAATGACGTGGCATAATTTTTCTGCATCCTAGATGCAGAGTGTGAAGGATAAATCCTAAGAGTCCTCAGATAACTCTTGGATTATCAATCTCTTATCCTAAGAGTCCTTAACTACTAATGATTATACAGTTGTTTCCTTATCTGGTGTAAATGTTCAGTTCAACTAAAACTCAAACTCTTGTAACTCTATATAAAAAATACAGCTTCCGCTCATTGG